ATGTAGTTACATAAGATAATTGATTTATAAGACAGAGAATAAAAAATCTAATTTAATCAGATAAGCGCCGAACTGAACTATCTCAAGATAGAATCAAATCAAATCGTACCTGATCAAGAGTTTTTTTATCGATTCCGGTCTTTGTACTCGTACGTAGAGATACGAAAATTTAATACCAAGCTAGAACTTCAATTGGACTTGAACACATGCTCGAGCTGAGCTCAATTCACTTGACATTTGGTCTGTCGTTTACGTTCGATAATGCCTTCTGGAAACAGAACAGTAGAAGGGAAACATTGATATGGGAAATTTTTCATAATCGAATAATAAGAGACTTTGGACTAAGACTTTTTATCTAGCATGAGTCAGAGCAACGTAGCTAAAAAATGCCTAGATGCTAGTGAGGACTCGATGTCATGAATATGCATTGAAAACGAATGAATAAACATTTCTTGAGGGTGTGGGTGTGGATGTGGGCGTGGGTGTGAGGTGGGTGTGGGTGTGGGTATGGGGTGTAGGTGTGGATGGTTGTGTTGGGTGTGGTTGTGTTTGGTGTGGGTTTGGTGCGTGTGGCTGTGGGTGTGGGTGTCTATCATCTCTTAAATGATGCTCACACTCACACTGTCAGCCACAACCACATCCATCCCCCCCCCCCCCCCCCCCCCCCCCCCCATCCACACCCACACCCCGGGATTACAGATCCCAAAAAGTTGACCATTGGTAGGTATAGTTATGGTGGATACTTAACGAATTGGTTAATCACACAAAGAACTCGTTTCAATGTTACTCTTAGTGGTGTTGGTGGTATTGAAAATGTGATCGATTGGGGAACAAATGATATGCCAATAAGCAATTTCTATTTCTTAGATGGTTTTCCATGGCAAGTTCCTAGTCGCTATCAAGGAGAAGTTACAATATTTCAATTGGACAAAGTTCGGATACCGACACATATTGTCACTGGTGAAAACGATGTTCGAATTCTAGTTGCGCATAGCTATGCACTAGAACGAGCACTTTATTCTCTAGGTGTTCCGCATAAATTAATCGTCTTTCCGAATGAAGGTCATAATATTGATAGAAATCCATGGCATGAAAAAATCAAACTCCGAGAAGAATTGAAATGGTTACATAAATATGGACATGTTTACGCATCGACATGTGAAGAGGCTTTGATTTCACTCGACAATAGTAAACGAATGAATCTATAAACAACACTGCTTTGTCTTTTAGCTCCAATCTTTGTCAAATTACTCGCTTAGACTTATGTTTAGCAATCATTAGTGACATCGCTTGATTTCTCTTGCTTAACTCTATTGATTGATTTCAAGAGTCAGACGCACAGAATCTAACGATATGCACGAACGTATGTTGGAAAGAAATGTTTGAAATTTGGGGAAACTTTTCATTTGAGAATTCGAATAAACAAACACACTATGACTTTTTGAGTTAAAAACTGCTTTTATGAGTTGCTTATTAATCAAGATTAGTTTTCTTATATGAAATTTTGATATGTTAACCAAATCGACGTCTGTTTCACTTTTCTTTGAATGTACAAGTGAAAAAGAGAATCCAGCATTTCCTTAAGTTTGATAGCAGAGAAAATTTCCTAAAGAATTTATCTGCGTTCGGAGAAATTTTTCGTTTTAGTGGCTAATTCTGTATCAATACTGTATACATCCAAACTGAGAGCATCATATATCAGTAAGATCTCGTTTGAAAAATACGTGCTATTTTCAACCAAAGAAAAAATTGTTCCAGTTTACATTCACACATCATTCTAAATTCGACATGCTCATCATCATTGACAATTTGATAATAAAATGAATTTCATACATATCTAGTAAATTTTGATGAAACATTAATCATAAGAGTTTACTATGCACAGAAATACGCCAAAGAAAATTTATATAAGCGGATATGGGTGCAGGTGTGGCATGGGTGTGAGCTTTTGTCATCATCAACTTCTTCCACACCCACCCTCAAGAAAAAAATCAACTCTTTTTCTTCTTTATGAGCATAGATGTGGCGCAATTGTTTAAGAATAAGGGCAATAAGTAAGATTTTTGCGAATACTTTATTTCATGATGCATAGACATTGTTGAATTAAAATTTAAGTTTTATTTTCCAGAAGCAATACAATCTACTGCTAATTTGCATCGAGTCTTTTTCACATCTCGACACCGTTTTTATGTTTTTAATTCCCAGCTTGCCTTTTTCCAGTTTCTCTCGCGAAGCGCCTTCTTCATTTTCTTGAATTGATTAAGTGTGCGACAACCTGCAAAAGCTATGTCCGCTAGTGTCGCACGAACGTTTGGTGGCATAAAAAGTTTGTACTTGTTGGCACACAACCGAGCTGCTGGATAAGTGTGATCATTATATAGAGTAGCCGCTTGCAACTCGGTCAGACATTGAGTGCGATCTTTTTATGACAATCGACAATCATTGATAACATCGTCCAGTTGTAGATCAAAGCTTTTCATCACGATTTTTGCATCAACCCGATGAAGGTTGAACCCGACTCCAATGGTTGGAATTCCTTTTGTGTCGTAATAACAACACAGTTCGGTTCCTTCATTGATTCTTGTTTGTTCTCGATTACAGTCACCATTGATGAAAACAACAGAAAAAAGCAAGAAGACTATCAGTTCATTTTCATTATAGCGCTTATTTGACATTGAAGAAAGAGCGATGGTGTATATATATGCAGTAGAAAGAGGAAGTCGTCTATCTGCTTTAGCTCATATTTCAATTAATGCTGTCTTCAGTGAATATCTCTTTCAAGATGCAACTTCGTTAGTGTGAATTGATAACCTTTTGTAGTCATAACAAATCGTGGATTATATTTCACACAGAGAATACTATCCTCGTTTAAATAATTTCGACGATCAAACTAACGAACACATTTTTAAAAATCATCCATCATTTGTCTTTCGTTCGATCAGCTACTCTTTGTGTTGCTTATGGAGAAAATAAATACTTGAAGAGTTGTTCTACGAACTTTGTCTAATGCCAAAGTATCTTGTTATGTTTTTTTCCTCTACATATGATTATTGGCACTGTTGTGTAGACAAAGCGTCATTTTTACAACTTGTGGAATGACGAATGGTTTCCCAGTCAAAAGAATAATGACAACATGGAACCAAAAATGCATTATTTTCCGTTGACACACTATTTCGACCATTAAAATGCATCTTAGATCCATAAATAATGGAAAACTATCCATTAAAATTCATTTTGATCCACAAACGAACCATTTGAACATTTTTAATGCATGGATTCTACTGTTTAGCGTACCGACTAGTTTTATTCAATCTTTTACGTTTACCTTCATAAATACCGCTTCAATAAAAAATATATTTTTACTAATTAGAACAATTAGATGTGCTTGTAGAGATCCTGAGATGTATCAAGTATTGAGAATTTATAAAGTTTAGAAATTGTTTAAAACATCTTAAAATTATACAGTAAAAATTAAGTATCTAATTGTAAAATGATTTTTTTCAAGAATAAAATATCTTATGAGGATTCGTTAAAGTTTGCATATTGGAAAAAATAAATGTATTTGATCTTGCCTGAGTCATACCACTAGTCGATCGAAAATCTAGTTTTTGAATGATATGAGATGGATTAATGATGACGTTTGAATCAGGAAGAATTGTGCCTTGCATAATATTGCTACATTTAAACTTTTTTTCTCGAAGATTGAGTGTATCTGCAGCAGAAGACAATTTTACTTGATGTAGGAAAAAGTAAATTTCATTTTTGTCCACCAGATGACTAATACATAAAATAAATCCGACCGACTACTGTTTTTCTTTTGACTTGTAGAGAACACAAGCATCATTGGAAGGTAGAATGATGAAGTCATCAGCGCTATACCGCAAATTATTAAAAAACAAGGTTTTATATAGTATAATGATGAAACGAATCGAATGTGGCCATGAAAAAAATGAGATCAGATGATGATGATAAATTTTTTTTTTATAAAATTTCACTACAGGTGTATCATCAATATTGATAGAAGTGATTTGACGAGACGATGATAAAATTCCGCAAATGTACCCTTGGTCTGTCATCGAAAATGTTGAGAAACAAGCAAAAAGTGATGCTTAACGATGAGTGTGAGTGTGGGTATACATAAGAAGAAAATCAACACCTGCACCGCATGTTCCACCTACACTCACACTCACCTGCCCACGTGCTCACACTCACATCCATACACTCTCTGTTTCAGTAAAAAGTCTACATGACTGTAAAACAAAGATTGTCAAGTGAAAGAGACTGGTATTGAAAGTTTGTTTCCAATGCTGTTTTGATTCATAATTATAAAGTGATCTACGGTATTGAAACATTCGCTTAAAATTATCATGAACATGCATGTTAATACTTTTACTGATAACAAAATGATGATCGTGTGCGGATTCCATACATGAAATCATTAAAACAAAATATCATTGATGGTAGCTCTTTGATTATTTTGAATTATTGTTATTGTCTCAATCATCTTTACTAAAGTGATTAATGATATTAGATATCATTGCCAATCTGACTTCCATCCGTTAAAGTTATTTAAGAAAAAACTGTTTAGTCTTGAGGCTAAGTGAAATGCCAATGTCAGAATATTTCTTTTTCTATGCTACAAACAGTTCATCAGCACTATTACATTAATAATCATTATTCTTTATTAGATAATAAATATTTTCAACAAAATAGAAAATATTAAAACTTAAACAAAACTCATATTAGTATTAATATATGTCCTGGAATCAATAAACAGCGAAATAGTTCCAAAATAAAAAAAAAAACTTTATTTTGTTTTATCTATTTGAATTTTCGAATTGAGTTCTGTATTTAAGAAAAAAATCACAGATAGATATGAAAGCCCAACCACAAAAAACAGCACACCAATGGTATATAAAAAACAATCATCTATGAGAATATATCAACAAGTTATATCTTTAAATTAAATAAGAATATTTCCTGCTAGTTATAGTTCTATATCATGAATTGTCACCATGATCATTATTAATCCAAGATGGTGGTACAAACTCTTCAACCATTTGCCAAACAATAACTAAAGGAAATGATAGATATTTGAAATAGATATGTATTTAATAGATTTTATCAGAGCAAAACAAAATAATTAACAGTAATGAATTCTCTATTTAAATGACTTACATTTCCATTGTTCTATAGTATATTGTGCATCTTCATGTTCATCAACTAGAGGTTCTATAGTGGGTTCTTCTATTGTACTATGATATTGCTTCAGAAATTGATGAGCTAAAATACAAATACGATATAGAAAACAGAATCTTATATGATTAAATTATGAAAATTTACCGAGTGCTTGTTCTGCAGTTGGACGCAGACGATGATCAAAAGATAGAAGACGATCAAGTAAATCAACACCTGTCATCAAAAAAATATGGATAAAATTAATTTCTATTTTCACATTTGTTTTTTTTTGTTCGAAATTTACCTTCTGTTGAAACACCTGATATTGGTACGGTACCTGTTAAGTCATATTTATAACCGAATAATTCATTAAAATCTTGTTTTGGTTTCGGTGTCATTTGACTTATATAATTTCGTGGTTCTAAAATTTTCTTACATCAATTATATTGCATTATGAAAATAAACTTTAAGAGATATCATCCTGATGATAATCGAAAGCATTTTTACATTTCATGTGAATGAAAAACTTTACTTTTCTTTTGAATATTTTATACAAACCTGCTGTGCATATTTCATTTAATGTTTGTATGTTTGGTGTACCGGTTATGTCTAATATTTTATTTAACTGATCGATATGATCTCTTCCACGAAAAATTGGTCTAAGTAGTATTAATTCTGCCATCATGCAACCCACAGACCATATATCAAGTTTTTGATTGTATCTTTCCCAATTGACAATTACTTCTGGTGCACGCCACCATCTAACAAGAAAATTTCTTGTGTCATTTAAAAACAAAAACAAGATAGCAAACATACCGGGTAGCAACATAACCAGTTTGAATATCATCTGATGCAATACGAGATAAACCAAAATCGAGAATCTGTAAAACAATAACAGAAGACAATATGAATAGTGACATCTTATAATATTAGATGGCATGCGAGTTTCATTCGATTGCGCAATGCATTATGAAACTTAAAACATCAATTATTGGCAAAAAAATATCTCATGAAAAGAAAAACACAACAACCGTCTCCAGTGTATAGTAATATGTTTCTAAAAAGTAATACAATATATATCTAACTGTAGCAGTGTAGGCAACTTTTACATATAAAATCAGTTGTTTCACAATTGGTAGCTCATTGTTCTTGTTGTTTTCATTTTAATTATCTATAAAATGCGTTGAAAAATACGAAGTTCACAATATCTTTTTCAACTATCTTTTAACAAATAAAGCGTTCTATTAAAAATTAGAAAACAAATGACATCGATTCGATCATACAATTATATCCTTGCATTAGAATCCGTTTCTTCTGATTTTCGATTGTCGAGATATGAACTATGAACTATAAATCCAAAGTTCGAAAAGAAAAACAACAAACTCACGTCAATCTACATAATTATTTGTGTCTCGCAGTGCAGTAAAAAAAGAACATTGAGGGAAGACAAGTTTTTTTTTTTCTTATCTTAGTTTTTGTTGATATGCCACAATTCATGTGCACTACATGAAAAAATTGAATAGTCTGTCCTGAATAACAGAAATTTTGTTTTTCTTTTTTTGTATTTATATATCAAATCCTAATTAGAACATTACCAAGAAATGAAACAACAATAGTAAACATTTGTCTACCTTCAACGAAGTTTTCTCTTGTCACTTTTCCTTGCATGTAAAGTCATGTTCTTTCAGTCTATCCAAATAATAGGATAACTGATGGAAATTATAAAACATTTACTTATTAGTACTTTCGATACTTATTTCAGTTTATTAGTAATTATAAGTGAAATTTTAATTTTTACATGAGTTCAATACTTACTGCTACATTACCCACTTTATCTATTCCAATATTTGCTGGCTTTAGATCCTATTTTAACAAAATAATCAACGATGCTTAATATAGAAAAAAAATATTTTTCTTTCACTTACACGATGGATAATACCAGCTGAATGAATAAACTAGATAAGAAATATAAAAAAAAAAGAACAAGATTGTATTAGCTAGATATTCTAACAGAACTTATGATACCTTCAAACCACGAAGAAGACAATAGATAGTTTGTCTAATAAAATCTTCTGACAATGGCTGACGAGGTTTTGTAATTTTTTGCAAGGTATAATCAACAAAATTGAAGACAAAATATCTGTAAAAGCAAAAGAAAATATCAACATTTTCATTAAACAATAGTATAGTTACAACATACAATGTTTTAAAATCGCTCAGTTTTTTCTCAGGTGTAAATACATCATATAATTGTACAACCTACAATAAAAAAGAATAATGCAAACAAATTCACATCAATACAAAGAATAATGTTTTTACACACATCTGCATCATAATGGTTGAGATAGATAAGTAATTTAAGTTCTCGATAAGTTCGTTTCGCATGTGTTACAGTTTGAAAAGGCCGCAACAATCTTTTAATAGCTACAAGTCGACCTGTTTTCTAAATTACAATATATTCATATTTTACTTTAAGTATTTTTCACAATAAAACATACTTTATCTTTAGCAAGACTAAATAATAAAATTCAATAATTAGAAAAATAAAATGAAATTGATTTTTCAACTTACATCACAGTTCCGTAACTACCTTGGCCAATAGATGATAATTCTTGATATCGTACAGGTAACGTATATGTACATTCACCACAAAGAGTTGTATACCATTCCGTTTGAACTGTATTCTGAGCAGTCATAGCTGATTTTTGTTAAATTGAAGAGAATGAAATATGCCTAAAGTTTTATACTGTTGAAAGTATATATATGAAAAAAAATTGTGTGCTTCTTTTGTTTTTTTTTTTGAAAAGAACACGCAAAAGAAAAAAAACAACAGAACGAAAGGCAAAATCACACAAACAACAACTAATCATAAAGAAAGGAAAAATCCAACCAAATAGTTTAATTATCTTCATTAAAAACATGTTATTGTACTTGCGAAATATAATGTAAGAGTGTGAGCGAAAATAGAATGGCATGTGTGAGTCATTTGGTTATAATATGATTCAGAGGGTAGACAAATCTCTGAAATATCATGAAAGTTCTTAGATGAAATAATAAATACAAAACATGTGATATATATTCTATTGACAAATATTGCTTAGTATAATTAAATTTTTGAATTTGTCATAAAACGATCTGCCAGGTTATGATTGCATGATAATCTAAATAAGTATCTTCTTATATTACATATGAAGTATTGCATATTTTATGCAGACAGAAGTAAGTACTGTTACACTGATAAATTCATTTTATAAAGTAGGAACCCAAATATACATCTTTTATTTTGAATGATTACTCATGTCATTTTTTTTTCTCAGCAAAACTTATGGGAAACCATGATTACGGGTCATCCATAATGGATGTTCAGTTCAGGTATACATTGCATTTTCCATCACCCTGTTCTTTCGGCCTAGATTTGTCCACTTTCATCGCCTCCTGCTTCTCTTGGATGTCCAACATAAAAAAAACAACCTTGCTGCACAAAATAACTATTTGGAAATGTAGTATAATCTTCAATCATTTCAATACCATATTCAACTGATTGATTTAGTTGATTTCCTATTTATGAGTGGTGTTCAAATATCTTCTACACGATACACGCATCTTTCCATACACCGCAAAGAGTGAATGTGAAGGTGTGTGTGTCACGTAGCATCGTCGACGTTCTTTAACGATGGGTCTTTACTTTAAAAAGCAACCATCAGTTCAGGTGGTTCGCTTTTTTTGCATCAATTTTGATAATTTTTCATTAATTTGACTTCGCTTGTTGGGAAAAGATCAATTTCATATTCCAAATGACTACTTTTATGGTTTTCAGCATGTTTTGATAAATGATACTACAGCTGTTTCTATTGGTTTTTTGCTTTCGACTAATCAAAAATTTTGTGGCGCTACGTATGCTAAATTATTCAGCTTGTAAAATAAGCCAGAACAATGGATTTGGCAAATATACACAACTCGAGCGCGTTCACGATTAATCAGGAGCATGATTCTGACTATGATTTTACAGATTTCTATCAGTTAATACTTTTTCAAAGAAAAGAATTCTCGACCGATTATCCCAACATGGGAAAGCGTTTCAAGCTGAGTAGTATAGCTTAGTAGTATATATATAAATGACTTCTGACCACTAGTTTGCAGGCTCAAGTTTGGCTATACTTCCTTAAGATAATTATTCAATCCTTTCGCCATGGCAGACTAGGACTATCTTAATATGAAAAAATTCTTTCAAATGTCATTTGGAATGCGTTTATATGCAAGAAATATTTCATTTGAGTCACACCTCAACGTATTCATTTTTCGCATTTCGAAGGCATATCAACCGTGATTCTGATGTATTCCGACTACTAAAAAGAAATATTTACGTCGAAGAAGACGTTATATAAAAGATATCCGATTTCTTCAACCAGACATTAATCAAATAAATCATCTATCATGAAAAAAATCTTTTATAACAACGTACCGACTATAAACAGCTATGTAGAAATTATATTTGAACCTTGTTTTTATACAGGTTAAAATATACTTCTCTAACTAGTGTAGCAACAGGCCTGAGCATCTTTCTAGTGGTATTCGATGCAGCTAATCTGACATGTGACATTCGAACTCAAAGAATAGCTCGTATTTCGACATCTTCTTACTTTTATTTTTCTTGGTACCATTTATTCTCAAATTCAACAAACGCATTTTCATTTTCGAACATCTCTGCAGTCTTTCAACTAATTTTATTGAACTAATAAGAGTTGGTTCAATGCATTCATTAATGTTGTTCAACAGAATTAAATAAGCATTATTTTCATGCTTCACAAACTTTCTCACACTGAACATTATTTACTTCGTGCCATGTGAAAATTTTTGATGTATGAATACCTTACCGATAGCTGAGTTTCGTGTGAAATGACTAATGGAATGTTTCTTCGCTATTTTCATTGAATTGTGCAGCAAGAATCAAGCAATAAACGGCTATTTCAGCGAAAGAGAGAGAGAGAAGTATTTACTTGCTTAAAATTGACTCAACATGCTATTCATACTTTTAGTCCAATGCTTTCGAAGTAAGAAGCTGTCAGTGATGATCAGTCATAAAGAAAACTTTGAAATCATATCAATGTTAAAACATAGATATCTAGTTTAATCCAACATATTAAAATGATCATCAATGTATAAAGTATATTGTGTCATCATTGTTTATGAATTGAATAGTTAATAAGTAATATGATATGATAACCCCAGTTTTTCAAATGACAAAGAAAGATTTTGATACCATATGAACATTTTCGTTCTATTCAGAATAGTTCAAAATCTAATTATCTGTTGAATATAGCTTTACAATATGAATCAATAAAAAAAAATTCGAATTTGCTGCTAATACTTCAAGTGCTTCTTTGAATTTCACTGACGACTAATTAGATTTATGAACTAGTACTATGAAGTAACGATATACTCTTTTTCTTATTTTGAAATGAACAATAAAAGGAAAGACAAGTCATTGTTATTCTTTTTCCAATAATCTATGATGTAATATTATTGTTATTTGATATTTCAGTATATAGTTTTATTGTTGATATCGAAACTAACTATCGATATTCGACAGGAAAATTTTGTTTTGCTTTTTATAATGAATATATAATAAACTTTTTTTTATTCAAATGTATCTTTCATGTTACGAACTAACAAACTTTGATAAAAAAAAACATAGTACATAAAAGAAAATGTGCTGATTATTATATTTTATAACTAATGGTCAAATAACTCTATTTTGAATGAATAAAAATTTTCTTTTTAGCATAAAACATTTAAATATTATTTATTTTTATGTATTGTTATTTCGGAAAAAAAACTCGCATTGATATAGCTGTTTATCAGGAGACTGAATAACCATATGAATAACCATATGAACTAGTATATTGGGAAAAATGTGTAACATGACTAAAGTCATCATGTCGTACCAATCGATCGAATTCTGGAATATCATAGAATTCAGGATCACTTCCAAGAATTTGACCCATGGTTGGGTTTGGATTTCCACCCATTAAATTGTCAAGATATATACCCAAGGGACCTACAATAAAAGAAACAATTTAGACATATTCGTTGTTTCAATCAATATTTCTTATGTATTTCTCATTATTCATTCGAATAGAAAATAAATTATTATTGAGATTCATGATGAAAATTCGAAATTTATTACAAATCATGACATCATCTTTATTAAGGCAACGCTTTAAAGATTATAAACAAATCAATCGAAATTTTATATATAAGCACACTAATAACTCAATGGCAAAAGAAAAAGAATCTCAATATTAATTTGAAGAAAGGAAAATATGCACAACAAGAATATATGAAAATAAGATGATTAACAAATTCCAAAAGAATAGATTTATAGAAAGAAGAACCACCAAGTTTTCAGCACCTTGAAGACACAAGTTTTATTTTGTTTAGACTACACAAAATTATAGAGCAAACAGCTCGTTACAAAATATGACGCTTTTCAACTCTTTGTATAGTTCTCAATTGAATTTTTACTAAAAAATAGTACGACAGAGCCGTCATAGACTTTTGTAAGATTTCTATTTTTCAGCATAAAAGAACTATAGAAAACTCAAAAGCATTTCATGTTTTTTTGGAGAATTATTTGCTCTATGCTTTCGTGTGCCCTACATCAAATAATACTTATACGATCTAAATCCTGAAAAATCGGTGATTCCACTTTATGGAAATCCTTTCTTTTCAGATTTGGTAATTAGAATATTTTTATATATTTCTGTATGTAGATTTTTCTCTATTCGAACTATTATTTAAATTCTTTTTTACTACTAAGATAGAGGAAAAAATTGAAAGTAAACCTTAATGAATAGTGTGAGTAGCCACTATGTATATATGTGTTGTATCAAACTTGCAACTTCATCGACCAATGTAATGTCGATACGAAATGTGAAAAATAAATTCTATTCTAATTATATCTAGCAATAAGATTTCACAATTCTTACTCTCTAATCCACCAGGAATATTTTGTTCAATCCACATGTCAGATTCCAGTTCTGAAGCCATATAGGAATTGACTGGTTGCATGTTTAACGTATTTCTAAATCAATAAAGTATCAAGAAATATTTTTTTTCTTTTAGTCAATGAATAAACACTGATTTCATTGCATGTATTTAAATACGATCTTCTTGTATATGTAATTATAGGTAAAATATGAGAAAACAAACGGAAAAATTTCTCAACCGTAACAAAAAAAATATGTACGGAGCTGATAATGATTCACAAGCAAAAAACATACCTGACAGTATCTTTTTTTTTTACTAATTTTTATTGATTCGATATGAATGTTTACACGCCTACATGCAATAAATTGTTTTTGAAATTATACGTAAGCAATTTTTTTTTATTATTTTCCTACGGCATTTTTTTTCGCTTGACTACATTGAGTGGGTAATTGTTTCATGTAAAAAAATATAGGCGCAATGATGTCATGTAATAAATAAAATATTATCTTGATGATGATAATTATTGGTTTTTTTTTCCTATGTATTGGTGAATCATATTTAAAAAAATAATATATTTTCATTAATTCATGAAATGAAGTATAAACAAGTGTTTTATATTTGAAATAAATCATTGATTTAAAAAGGATAATCATAAATGAAAAGGTTGTTTAAACAACAATACTCTGTAATAAAAAAATATTGAGTA